AAATAGCACAGTGGTAGAATTTCCTGACCTCCTTAAACATATAAGTTGTTTGAACACCCACATATAGCCAAGTAGAGGAAGACCATTTAGCCTCAGATTTAATCAAATGGTCTATGGTCCCCTGCTAGCTCTGTGTGTTGTAATAGGTTCTGTGATTATTGAGGACTGGTAAGGCTAACAGATCAGAAGATAACTGTCATTGAAAGTGGCTTCTCTGGTAGCTCAGCTGGTAAAGAATCCACCTACAATGCTGGAGACCCTGGTTCGATTCCTGGGTTGGGAAGATCCACTGGAGAAGGGATAGGCTACTCACTCCAGTATTCTTGGGCTTTCCCGGTGGCTCTCCTGTAATGCAGGAGACTTGGATCTGATCCCTGGGTTGGGAAGATCCCCTGGAGAAGGGAATGACTACAGATGGTAAAGCATCTGCCTACAATGCGGGAGACCCAGGTTCAATCCCTGGGTCAGGAAGGTCCCCTGGAGAAGGAAATGGCAACCCACTCCAGTACTCTTGCCTGGAAAATCCCATGGATGGAGGAGCCTGGTGGGCTACAGTTCACAGGGTCGCAAAGAGTCAGACATGCTAAGCGACTTCACTTCAGTTCACTTCACCCACTCCAGTATTCTGGCCTGGAGAATTTCATGGACAGTGGAGCCTGGCAGGCTACAGTCCATGAGGTTGCAAAGAATCAGACATGACAGAGACTTTCACTTTACTTCACTTCAAGGTCAACAGATCAGAAGATAACTGTCATTGAAAACGTTGTGTGTTATACTTGGAGATCCCAAGTGACAGAGTACAGTTCTCATCATGGTGGGCCAAGAGGGGAAGCATGAGGTCCATCACGAGGCAGGGAGAGAAGGGCACTGGGAAGTACTTTTACTGGGGCTTCTTCAGGAAGGATCTGGCAAGGCAGGGTAAGTAGGTTTCGGATTGGCTAATTTGAATACCTTCAGCAGCCTCTGTCCCTAGTTGTCTGGCACATGGACCTTGTGGTGATTTGGGCAGGTGTAGAGTGGCCTGGGATGAAAGAGCTCGATGAAAGAGTGGTTGGGAGTGTGGGCTCTGGATTGGTTGGTTTGTATTTAAAAATGAGAACTGTGTCCCTTGGAGAAGGACTCCTCCTAAGGGCAGGTAGAAGGTGTCCAAGGCAAGGTGACTCAGGCATATTATTGGTTTGTTCAGACCAAGATGTGTCCAGCATGAGCATGTAGAACAGATGTTAAAGCATCAAGTTTACAGAAACTAGAAACATGGTTAATACACTGTTACAGAGCCCCTGGGGAACTTTTATTAGGTTTACAATCTGTTCTTCACTCCCAACAGGAATGAGGATGGTAACGTGTGTGTGCTCACAAGTGTGCCTGTGTGTGCTGACTCACTCAGTCATGTCCCACTCGTTGCGACAGCCTGGGCTATAGCCTGCCAGGCTCCTCCAGACAAGCATACTTGAATGGGTTGCCATTTCCTACTCCAGGGGATCTTCCCAATGCAGGGCTTGAACCTGGGTCTCTTGTGTCTCCTGCATTGGCACGTGGATTCTTTACCACTGAGCTACCTGGGAAACCCATAGAAAGTATTTTTGAGGATGGTAATAACTGGCCTAATTCTCCTCTGAGCTGTGGTCTAGGGGTTCTTAACCTGTTTTAGGCCCTTGAGCCCTGAGCCTTCATTCAGCAAAGAATGTTGTTCGGATGCTCAGACTGACCCTGACCACGACAGACAGACAGACAGATGATCCTCGTGATACTGCCTGCTCCCCACCCCCTTTGAAAAAGAAGCCCTCCATGCTACTTAAGCTCCTCTCCTGATGGTGGAACATAATGCTTCTTTCTAAGCTTGGAAGGTATTAGTGACTAACTCTGAAGCTTCCGAGATGAAGGCCTGGACTTGAATCCAGCTCTACCATTCAGAATCTGCAAGGCCTTGAACAGGTTTCCATGTCACATTTTACACTGTTATTATCTAGAAGCTCCACAGAGGCTGAGATCTTGCTGCTTTCAGGCATTTTTGGGGTCTGGGACTCTAATACAGAGAATACAAGGCAGATGGTTGGTGCTGAGTAAACGAAGTAGTTCCCCTTTCCCTCGGTTTCATTTTCTGTCGTTTCAGTCAGACACGGTCAAACATGGTCCTAAAATATTAGCTGGAAAATTCCAGAAACCAACAATTCACAAGTTTTATGTGGTTCTGAGGAGCAGGATGAAACCACCCACTGTCAGGCCTAGGATGTGGCTCATCCCTTTGTCCGCTGTAGCCGTGCCATAGATGCTACTCGCCCATCAGTACATACAGGATTTGAGACACTCTGTGGTTTCAGGCATCCACTGGGTTTCTTAGAAGATGTCCTCTTTGGATAAGGGGAGATCGACTGTATTTTCAGCTAGATGAAGGCTCCATAAGGTTACTAGTTGATTTTCCAGGCAGGTGACCATGTTTCACTGACGGTGTTTCACTGTACAAGAGGTCAGAGGTGTTGTGCTTACCTGGGAGCATGTTTTATAGCCACTCTTTGAGTCAGTAAAGACTCATTCCTATCTTGTATTTTCATTATTTCAGCATTTAAAGAAAACTTCTAACCTAATGGTAATTAATGTTCATTAAGATGCCAGAAACTATTAAAAATCAAATTAAGCTGAAATTCCCTGTATTGCACTTAAGATAAGGCACATTTGCGAAAAATTTCTGAAAGACCTTTAGAACTTAGACTTAACCTTCAGCTTTTAGAAAAACCTCCCAGGAAGACTCATTTTGAACAAATTCTAGATAGTAGCTGTTTAATTTTGTTTTTTTAATTATGGACAATTTAAAACACACAGAAGTAGAGAGCACAGTATAATTAATCCCCAGTTACCCACACAACCTCCACTTCCCACTTAACTCCCATGCATCATGATTACTTATTAAACCATTCAGCATGTATCTCTAAAAGGTAAAGATTCTTTAAAAAAAAGTAATACCATTGTCATATCTACAATAATAAATAATAATTTCCTAATAATTTCAAATAGTCATGTTAAAATATCCCCCATCATCTCATAAATGGTTCTTTGTGGTTGGTTCATTTAAATCAGGATCCAAACCAGGTCAACATGGCCTTGGACAATCTCTTTTAAGTTAAAACAGTTTCGCCTTCCATCTTCTTCCACTTGCCGGCTTTTTTTTTTTTTATTGGAGTATAATTGCTTTACAATATTGTATTAGTTTCTGCTGTACAATAAAGTGAATCAGCTGTAAGTATACATGTATCCGCTTCCTCTTGAGCCTCCGTTCCACACCCTACCACCCCATCCCTCTAGGTCATCTCAGAGACCCGAGCTGAGCTCCATATGCTATATAGCAGCTTCCCATTAGCTATCTGTTTTACACATGGTGGTGTACTTATGTCAAACCTGATCTCCCAATTCATCCTGCCCTCCCCTTCCCTTGTGTCCACGTGTCCATCCTCTACTTCTGTGTCTCTATTCCTGCCCTGGAACTAGGTTCAACTGTACTGTTTTTTATATACATGCATTCATATATGATATTTATTTTTCTCTTTCTGACTTATTTCACTCTGTATGACAGACTCAAGGTCTGTCCACATCTCTACAAATGACCCAACTTTTTCAATTAAGAAACTAGATCATTTGTTCTGTAAAATTTCTTACATTTTTGATTTTGTCGATTGCATGCCCCTGGTGGCATTTAACAAGTTTAAATCTGTTCCCTGTGTTTCCTGTAAACTGATAGTTAGAGCTTGAGGCTTGATTAGATTTACGTTTGACTTTTTCGTAAAAATACCTCAAAAGTATCTTTGAGTACTTCTGATTGCATCACATTGGGAGATACTATCTCGGTTTTCTCTATTTGTGATGTTAAGATTGACCAAAGCATCTGGTATTTTCTGTCTCCATTCTAAAAGTCCCCATCAAGGCTGGTGGTCCAGTGGCTAAGACAACACAGAGGGTTGGAGTTCCATCTGTGGTCAGGGAACTAGATCCCACAAGCCACAACTAAAGATCTTGTGTGCCACAACTAAGACCTGGCGCAACCAATGAATAAATTCAATAAATATTTATTTTAAAGTCCCCATCAGTCCCCTTTCAGTTAATGCAGTAGCTCTCAGGCCTGTACTACCTATTAGAACATCTGTGCAGCCTTTACACACTTCTGATATACAGGCTCCACCTCCAAGAATTGATTCAGGGTGGACTTGGGCTCAGCAAGTTTTTTAAGTGCCCTGGGTGATTCTGATGTACAGACAGGACTGAGAGTCACTGACCTGATAATTTTGGCAGTCATTGAGGATCTTTGCCAAGAGAGCAATTATTTCAGAAAAGATTGTCAAATAGTGATATTCTATCTTGCTTTCTGTACATATTAGCTGATATTCTTCTATAAAAACTTTCATCAAGTCTTTAGTTCTTTCTCTAGTTCGTCTGGGAAAAATTGAATAAACATTGGATTCTTATCAGTTTTCTGAATGATGAGTTGGATATCTAATATCCTCCAAAGCTGGCTAGTGAGTTTTGTTTAAATGTTTCTGTGAATTCATAGATTTTTAGTATATTGGGTGTTTTTACCATTGCCGTTATTATTATGTATTATTTTGATGGCCAAATTGTTTAACTTTAGCCAGTGGAAGTCCTTTGAAGTTAGTGCTTGTGACTTTTTGGACATCAGTAGTATTTTATTGCTTCCCTGCTTTTACATATGACGTGTTTTAGGCTCATCTTGTACATTTGATAATTTAGTTGTTCTGTGCAATTCCTGTCCTGGACTTTCTAATAGTTCAGCTCTCTGTGTCCTATTTAGTGACATTCTATTTAGTGGCTATGATGTGATTACAAAAGAGAATGGCAGATATTTATAGTAAAATAAATTTCAACAGGTGGTAAATTGTCATTAGGAAAAATCATAATAATTATGTAAAGAAAATCCTCAATATTTTGTTATAAGTCCTGCAGAGCATGATGAATAAATGCTTGGTCACCAATTTGTAATTTTTTACCCGCAGTTAATGTCCATCAGCGTGTTGGCTGTGTCTGCTTGGATGAGGGACTACCTAAATAATGTTCTGACTTTAACTGCAGAAACAAGGTAGGTTTTATAATTAATGATTGAATTATTTCATCAGGGTTTCCTCAGACACTAGTTTCTAAGTAACTTTGCCCTCAGCTGTTTAGAAGGTAGTGCTCACCCCCGATCATTTGGAAAGTTTTTCCTCCCCATGGTAACACTTACATTTTCTAGAATTTTCATTAAGGTATACTGCTGTTTGTAGAGGACATCTCTGGTTATGGTAATACCACTTACCTGTCCTGGAAATGTTTGAACCATGCCATATTTGTTACAATGGACAGCACAACTACTTTTCCTTAAGAAAATAATTGCCAACTTTATCTTGCCTTCATATTCCTGAGCTAATGAAAACCAAACCCTACATGTCATTTTCTTGCCCAATTTCAAGGACTGATCCACTAACATCACAAATGGCAAACTACTTAATGTCTCTGAGCCTCATTTTCTTCATCTCTGAATGGGAATTATATACCTCTTTGAATTTTCGTAAGGATTTCTGTAAAGTCTTTAACATGATGGAGCTTAGTAAGCACTTAGTCATGGTCGTTTATTTGTTATCTTAGTTATTATTCTTTCTGTTAAGGCTCTAGTTAATAATTTTTCATGGTTTTTGAGCAGAGAAGGCGTCTCCCTCCCCTCCTTATAATACAGACCAACTTCCCTTTCCATAGCAGTGTTTCACATCTTTGGAAAAGTGCACACTGCCTGCAGAGTCCCAGATCAGAGAAGAGTAGAGAGTCTTCTCAGCTGGGAAATAGTGAAAAGTTTCATGTGGTTTCCTCATGAAAGTTAAGCCTTCGGTGCTAATATTAGATGGACTTTTAAAACTGGGAATCCCTATCTATAATACATTTTAAATGAGCTGAGATAGGGAGTTTTTTTTTTTTTTTTTGTACCACTTGTATAAAAAACTAAACCGAACAAGATAAAAAATAAAACAAACAAGCAAGTTGGTGATGGCAGAGTGCACATCAGTTGTATCTTGTGCTATGTCTTGGGTGCCTTTTTATTCTATTTATAATATAAAGACTTAATGAATGAAAGTATCGTAGAAGAATATCTGCTATGTATGCAGAAAGCAAGATGGTATATTGCTGTTTGACAATCTTTTCTGTTCTTCTTTCAGGGTAGAGGAGGCTGTCATTTTGACTTACTTTCCTGTGGTTCATCCGGTCATGATCGCTGTTTGCTGTTTCCTAATCATCGTGGGGATGTTAGGATACTGTGGAACAGTGAAAAGAAATCTGTTACTTCTTGCCTGGGTATGGTGTTTACGTCTCATCTTTATTGTGTTTAAAAAGACCAACCACTGTTGTATTATTGGTTCATCAGTGCAGGGGATTATATGCGTAGGGAACTGTGATAACAGTTCCCTAATCTGTGGTCATTGTTCAACATCCTGTGAGAAGGGAAGTGTTCTTTCCATGAGAAATGATGTCAGTACAAGTGTTTGCTGTACTCAGAAGATGAGGTGTAGAAATATGTACACTGTTTAATTATTTCACTCAGGCCACGTGTTGACATTTTCATTTGAAAGTATGAGTTTTTTCTAGTGTCAGGGACCTTATTACCACTCCAATAAGCCTCTTGGGACTTGAACTGAGATGTCATCATGGAATTCTGTTTCTTTCTCTCCTTTCTTGTTGTAAACAAACCCACCACTTAAACCCATATGGAATTCAGGTGGTGAGGTAACAGAAAGAAAGGTATCATAATCCTCGTGCTGCCTTTATATATGGCAACCCACTCCAGTTTTCTTGCCTGGAGAGACCCCATGGACTGGGGCCCGCTGGCTCCATTGACCCCAGTCCATGGGGTCACAAAGAGTCAGACACGACTGAGTGACTAAGCACCAAGCACCTTTACATAGGTTAATGAAAAGAAGTGAGCCTCAGTTTCCATAATATCAGTTTTTTTTTTTAATTTGGGAAGAATTGGACTAAACTACTTCTTAAATTCCCTTTAGTACTTCATTTCTATGATTCCAAAATCTATTGATTAGATTTTTAGCTTAGAAATGAGCAAACCCTCCTTTAATATTAAACATTTGAGTCAATTAAAAATACGGTTTACATACAGATTTTTGAAGCTCATTGAGTGTATAAAATACGTTAGTGGCACCAGGTAGTTGAGACTGCTAACATGTAATTGTGGACATTTCAGACTCCTAAAAAAGCAATTTATTGAGTATATCCCTTTCTTTGCTGTAGTTCTCAATGGTATCTGTGCACTCATTTATTATAGGGAACTTAAAAAAAAATTTTTTTAATGGTGTGCTGATATGCTGGATACCTGAGCAGAAAAAAGCCCTGATTTGTAGTGTTTGAAGATTTCTGTGGTGTAAATACTCCCAGCATGGTCAATTTCAGGTTACCAACACAGCGTCGCTGAATGCAGAGGTGGGGAGAGATGAGCACAAATTCTCATTCTGGAGCCAGCTTCTGCACACCAGGGTTCGCCTGGCTTCCGTCCCAAACCCATTAAAACAGAATCTTAGCGTGAAGCTAAACTAAAGCTTTGCATTTCACAGGAACAACCTGTGTTAATGTATTACTTGGCTTCATGGATGATGACTCTTCTGGTCGCGTGACTGGAAAACAGAAAATGCTGCAGAAAATAAACCACCCTCAGAGAAGGGGGACATTCCCATTTCCTCACTTCTGTCCACTTTTGTATATAATGATCTTGATTATATTTTATTTGTAATATGTCATTGTTCTTCTTTCAGGGGAAAGGAGGTGGAAGGGTTTGGAATCTTATGTTGCAATTTAAGAAATTTGGATAATAATTTAAACATAAACTGAAGGATTTACATTATATAAAACATAGCTTAAAGGATGGATAAGGTATTGAAACTTAAAATCTTAGAATCCTTTTCTAAAACCATAATCTTACAATGATGTCCCATGTATACAGTCAACTTAGGACTGGCTACTATTAATATGATTCTTCCTTCTCCCAACTTGTATGATTCTGGATGATTCCTGGACTGGGGGATGGGGAGGGGTAGGATAACGTATTTCATAGAATCTCAAAGACTTTTAGGAACATATTTTGAAAACCATTTATGCATTCCTTTAGGTTATTTGAATGCAAGTAAAACAATTTGTCAAATAAGGTAATTTGGGCTCTCCTTGGGGCAGGATGAATCATAGAGACTTGCGCATAGGAGCTAGGTTGTGATGCTGAAAGAACCTTATGATTCAAAGGTGGCATGGAGGGCTGAGGTTCTAAGGGCCAGTAATTTGTTCATTCATTCATTCTTCAAACACTTTGGACAATATATGCACTACTAACCTTTGCCATCAGACCAGGTTATACACAGTGGATAGACAGTTTCACTACTGCCTGAAGAGACCTCTAGTAAGATTTACTATGAGTACTGAGGCTAGAGAAGAGCTCCAAACTCAATCCCAAGGGGTCAGGCCATTCTTCAGGAGGATGACTGGAATGGTTTGGTGATGCTGTAGCCCATCCCCGCCCCTTTTGCCTGGCTGTTGTTCAGTCGCTCAGTTGTGTCTGACTCTTTGCAGTCCCATGGACTGCAACACGCCAGGCTTCCGTGTCCTTCGCTATCTTCTAGAGAAAAAGATAGTGTCCATTGACATGACTCTATCATGTCCATTGAGTCGATGATGCTACCCAACCATCTCATCCTCTGTCGCCCCCATCTCCTCCTGCCCTCAGTCTTTCCCAGTATCAGGATCTTTTCCAATGAGTTGGCCCTTTTCACAGGTGGCCAAAGTATTGGAGCTTCAGCTTCAGCATCAGTTCTTCCAATGAATATTTAGGGTTGATTTCCTTTAGAATTGACAGGTTTGATCTCCTTGCTGCCCACGGGACTCTTCTCCAACACCACAGTTCAAAAGTGGATGTACTCTTTTCCATAAAGCAGCTTTTGGTGCATCACTCTTCCCCATGTCCATAGCTGCTGTCCACTGTTGGTCATTTCTTTCCCTTGACTATCTGTGGCAGTTTTTCCCCCATTCACACCAGGCTGCCTGTCTCCTCGTAGCAAGTTTCCTGTCTAGACCCAGCACAATCTATCCTTTGCTTGAAGAATGATCTGCAGTCTTAGGTCCCAGTTACCTGTCACTCATAACTAATCTGCTTCTCAGTTGTTTTTTTCTTCCCCCCTTTGGCTTTCTTTCTCTAAACAGTTGCCAAGTCCCGTAAGGTTCTAGTTCTACAACTTTCAGGTCCTGTGCCTTCTTTTCTGTTCTCATTTGGAATGCCCAGGATCAGGTTCTTCTGACTTCGTACTGAAACACTGCATAGCCCCGTAACTACACTTCCTGCCTCTGTTGTCTCTAACATACCCCAAGCCAGTGCTGCCAGGTTAATATAATGCTACAGTGATCACATTACTCCTGTTTTCCAAAACCTTGAAAGACTCTTGGTGGGGTAATGAAGTGTTTAGAGACACCTTAATCTTGCATCAAGCTCTTTTGCAATCAAACCTTCATTTGTCACTTCTAGCTTTCTTACTTCATTATTTTCTGGTCAAACTGGATTTTCTGACCCGTGAACGAACTTTTCTGGCTGTGTTCTTTCCTGCCTTTATTCTTGTTGTTCTCTTAGCTAGGGATTTTTTCTAATACTTCTGTTTCAGTACTAACAGCCTGTTACAGTTTGTCTGAAATAGTGCCTCCTGAAATTGTAATAATGATGAAGGTGATGATGATAATCAAAAGTAGTTAACCTTTCTCAGATACTGACAGAATGTAAGGCTTACAGGCTGTACAGGTTTACATAAAGAGTTTTATATTAATTAAACAGTTTTGTCCTCTCCATGATTCTAATGAGATGTACTGTGCTTAGTCACTCAGTCATGTCTGACTCTTTTCGATCCCATGGACTGTAGCCCACCAAGCTCCTCTGTCCATGGGGATTCTCCAGGTAAGAATACTGGAGTGGGTTGCCATGCCCTCCTCCAGCGGGTCTTCCCAACTCAGGGGTTGAACCCAGGTCTCCTGCATTGCAGATGGATTCTTTAGATTCTTTACCATCTGAGCCTGAGATAGATACTATTACTATTTCCATATTGTAGGTGAGGGAATGAGGCACTGCTTGGTTTAATAATTTGCCTAAGTTTGCATAGCTAATAAATGGAGTATATGGTATTCAGACCATCACGGTCTAGTTCTAACAACATATTTGTAACACCTTCACTACACTGTTTCACTCTGTGTGTGTGTGTTAGTCCCTCAGTTGTGTCAGATTCTTTGTGAACCCTTGAACTGTAGCCTGCCAGGCTCCTCTGTCCATGGGATTCTCCAGGCAGGAATACTGGAGTGGGTTGCCATTTCCTTCTCCAGGAATTTTACTCTTTAATTGCTGCCTTTTCCTAAATGCTTCAGTATCTTAGTTTAATATGGATTATGTATCTTACATTGTATAAAATTTTTTTCTATAATCTTTCATTGTAAACTCAACAATCATCTAAGATAGATAATTACAAATGAAGTTCAGAGAGGTTTATTAATATGTCCAAGGTCACTCAGCACTAGCAGGTAAAGCTTTGATTCAGACCTCCATGTATCTGACTGCCAAGTCCATTCTCTATGGGCTTTTACCAGTGTCTCCAACAGACATATTTCAACTTTTGAAGTTCAATGCTTTTCTTTTATTATAAATTCCCTTTTTCATGACCAGCCCAAATTATCAGACTACAAACAGCTTGATAATATGAACCATTCATCTTGCCTATTGCTTTAATAATTTTTTTATGAACTCAAATAATAACCAGAAAATTAGAACGGTGTGAGTAGAAGTGGTCAGCACATCAGATGAAGGATGGTGTCTGGAAGACAATGATGGGTGAGATTTTCAGGCAGGAATTTGGCTGTTAGGTTCAGACAATAGTGGCTTGTTGAAGTGGGGCAGCACTCATGTAGGTTGTGATGGGTTATTAGGTCTTTGGCAAATATTTGCAAGGCAACTCTCATGGTTTCTTTCTTTGTGTCCTTTAGCTTTTTATGTTAATTTAAAAAAAAAATTTGGAAGGTTCCTTAATTGTAGTTGTAAATTTTAAGAAAGCCCAATGCATTCAGTCCACCTTGTGCACTTCCTTGGTATTAAAAATCATGCTTCACTTTTAAGACCTATAAGCCAGCTTAGAGGAGGAAACATTTTTCTTTTTTTAAAGACAACTCATATCTCTGAGAGCTGCCATATCTCTTGAATGATTACTAAAAAAAGAGCTGACAACTGGGTGATGGTGCTGCTTAAGCATAAGTCAAAGTCAAAATGCCATTATTCATCTGACTGGTCAAGAAAAAGTGAGGGAGGCTCAAAACCTAGCTTTACAACTCTCCTTCTCTCCTACCCCACTCCTACCCCCAACCCCCAAAGAAACAACTGCAGGCTAAGAGGCCATCTGTAGGAAAACATTTATGGAGAATCATAATCAAGAATTTGACGCTTCTATTGAATTATAGATGCAAATTGTTAAAACACCCTAATTTAAGTTTCCTGAACATTAATTAAATTTGGATTTCAACTAGATAACAAATAATATTTTCATACAAGTATTTCCCATGCAACATTTAAGATATACATCTACTAAAACATTATTTTTTTATCTGAAACTCAAATTTAAATGAGCATCTTGTATTTTTATTTCCTGAAGTTAGCAACCCTACTGTAACCAGATTTGTTCTTATAAATGTGAAACTGTCACAGAACAGAAACTTCAATGTATTTGTAGGAAGAGATTATGAGTAATTAAATCCTAATTATATTGGGAAGACAAGCCAAAATGACTAAGAAGATAAACTTGAATGTGCCATGACTTTCAAAGTAATTTCAGTAGCAGAACTTCCTTTCTCTTTAAAAGAGAAATCGAAGCTAAATGGAAATTGGTTTTAAGCTTTAGATGGGTACTTCCCAAGGCTTTTAGCTGTAGACTAAATGAAATTCATTTGTTATTGCAGTTCTACCTTGCTATTAACATAGGCATTAGGAAAGCGGTACCAGCTCAGGGGAAATGTAAACAGGTTGAACAGACGTGTTTACAATATCGACAGCAGCTGAATGTCACCATCAGGAGATCGTCATTTGTCAGAGTGCGATGTTAATATATACTCAACTGCCAGCAAATCACAACTTGTCAGGCCCTTGTCAGAAATTAAGTTGCGTGCATCTTACATGTGTAAGATCAGTACCTTATATATAAATGGAAAGGTTTTATTAATCTTTTTCACCCTTATTATCCCAGAGAATTTTCACATAGCTAGTGGTTATGTGGAAGCACTTTTAAACTTTCTTAAAATATCCAGTGGTTGAACCAGATTTGAAATGATTCTCTTGATGGAAATCAAGTACATTTTTAATGGCCATGGAGAAATAAACCATCCTCAGTGTTCTGTTGTTTAAAATCATAATGCAAAACTGGAATATCTTTAAATTGGAGTTAATTTCCTACAGACTCAAAGTTCTTCTTTGAAGTAGTTACACAGTTAATAGTGATACAGCTACTGATAACCTATTAAGTTAAAATTAAGCTATTAAATTAAGTATCTTTATTATCTGCTAATAGTTTTGGTTGATAGCCTAGCACCTTTATTTCTAAGTCAAGGTCCATCATATCATTGATTACATGTTCAGCATCTGCCCAGAGTTTCACTCTGTTTTCTCAGAAAATACTTATAGCAACTTTATATGGTTAGATGATTTTATAACTGAGGGAAAGTAAGATGCCCACAGATACACAGCTGCTAGTTGCTTTCATCAGCATTTAGATACAAATTACATTGAAAGTCTGTACATGTTTCACTCCACCACTCAATGACTAGAATACATTTAATTAATTGCTGGCAAAATTTCTATAAGACTTAAATATGCTTCATCTATAATTCCAACGTATTCAGTAGTCATTCAACTTTTAAAGGTATATAGTCTTTTGATGTCCTTATTACAAAAGGAATTCTAAAAACCCAACCTTAGTTCTCCCTTATCCTGTCCAAGAATCAGACCGCTTCTCTTTTCCTTTCTCACCTCTTTTCTGCCCCTCTCTTTCCTTTTCCCCTCTGTAAATATATGTTGAGTACCCAGTCTGTGATAAACACGAGATACAGAGATGAAATGGGAGACTGCAAAGAAAATAAAAAAGCAAAATAGAGTATTAAAGTTATAAATAAATTAGTGTGGGAACCCTGAATAAGGAGCAGCTGGAGGTTTCCAGTAGATTTTTCAGGAGAGTCTTTGTTTGAGCTGGATGTTGAAAGTGTATAAGAGTTTTCTGGTGGAGGAGAGAAGTTACATGCAGAATGTGTGCAAAGATACAGAACCGTGTACATGTGTTCCCCATCCTGAACCTCCTCCCACATCCCTCCCCATCACATTCCTTAGGGTCAGCTGATTCATGCCAGTGTATGGCAAAACCGCTACAATATTGTAAAGTAATTAGCCTCCAAGTAAATAAATTAATTAATTTAAAAAAGAAGAAAACAAACCACATTAAACAAGCATTTCTTATTTAAAAAAAAAAAAAGAACCATAAAAGAACGTGACAAATTTAGGCAAAACTTAGAAATTCTTGTGGCTGTGGTGTCAGTGAAAAGCGATTGAAGTAGTCTGCAGACCATGAAGATCTTTGTAGGAGAGTCTGACGTTTTCCCTTGGACTATGGTTAATGAGTGTGTCTAGCATTTGATGAAATGATAACATTTAGGAGTGGAGGCTTTGGGAAGGCTGGCTAGTGGTTATACACAAGTAGGAGACCCGGGTTCCATCCCTGGGTCAGGAAGATTCCCTGGAGAAGGAAATGGCAACCCACTCCAGTGTTCTTGCCTGGGAAATCCCATGGACAGAGGAGCCTGGCAGGCTGCAGTCCATGGGGTCACAAAAGAGTTGGACGTGACTGATCGACTGAGCACATAGCCCTAGTCCTTGGAAGCATGGTGGGGTCTGGACCAAGACTTTGGGGACTGGATGGAAGACAGCTGAATTCAGCATACCTTGCTGAGATAGTATTTTTGCACATGACAGTAATGTTTGTATTACTTGACATCAGGAAACAGGATATTATTCAGTATTTATGTGTTTCTCATCTAATAGAAACACCCCATTCAATATAGGCATTTTAATTTGACATGTTAACTAGAATTCTNAGTAATGTTTGTATTACTTGACATCAGGAAACAGGATATTATTCAGTATTTATGTGTTTCTCATCTAATAGAAACACCCCATTCAATATAGGCATTTTAATTTGACATGTTAACTAGAATTCTTTTAAAGTTGTAGTTTTAAAATTTAGTTGCTAAACTCACAAAAATTTCAGTCAGAGGAAACCAAAGATGATGTAGACATTTCTGCATCCAGAGGCTCAGTTTGCACGTCTTGGTTTCTTAAATGAAGCTGGCCGGATTGCCTCTAATTATACCCCAGGAAAGCACATAAGCAAATGTATTTGAAAGGTGTCGTGATATTCCTGCCCTTAATGGTGGGTCTTTGTGACAGGATCTGGAGTGTTCTTTGGACTTTTTGCTTACTTTAGGGTTTGAAGTATGAATGGCTCAAGGTTTTGTATTTCTGACTTTGGTATAATTTAGGTATACTCTGTCATAGTAAGCATTTTAAGCTTTGTTATATATTGTTTCTTCATATATACATTTGTGATAGTTTTGGCTAAATGTAAGCCATATAAGTCTATACCCATTGATTTGGTGAATGTCCCCAGTCTGTGTGGAGTTCAGTGACAGGCATTTCTCTGGCAACACAGGCTCTTGAAAGGGTGATTTCAGCAAATGCTACCTTGAGGCTAATTCAGCAGTTGTGTAGAGTTTTTGCTTTCACGTTTGCTATTGACTTCCTTTGGCCTAGGTGAAGCAGTAACTATTCATTTGAAATCATATCAGTGTCTAGAAGACTTAGGAAATCGAGTTAAATCAATAGTGAAGCAAATGACACAAAATATGAGAGAATTAAGAATTAATTGTTTAAACTATAATGAGGAAAATAACTTTTAGAAAGACTTTCTGGAAAAATGAAGTTTACCATTTACTTGTATGCAATATCTGAAGAATGTGAATTTTTCTTTTCTTTTCTTTCTTTCTTTTTTTTTTCTTTTTGGCCATGCTGCGTGGCACGCAGGGGCTTAGTTTCCAGTAGGTGATGGTGGTTTAGTCACTTAGTTTCATCCGACTCTTGTGACCCCATGGATTGTAGCCCGTCAAGCTCTTCTGTCCATGGGATTTCCAAGGCAAAAATACTGGAGTGGGTTGCCATTTCCTTCTTTAGGGAATCTTCCCAACCCAGGGATCGAACCTGCGTCTCCTGCATTGACAGGTGAATTCTTTACTGCTGAGCTACCAGGGACGTTCCCTGACCGTGTGTGGAGCCCGTGTCCCCTGCAGTGGTAGCCTGGAGTCTTAACCACTGGGAATCACCAGGGAAGTGCCCATTTCCTCCTTTATTCAGATACAGGGTGATAACAGGCTCCGAGGATGTGCTCAAATTAAGATGCATCTTCTCAGCTCACATGACAGAAACGCTAATTTTAGTTTAAGTATATTAGCACTGCAGTTGTATCACTTAGTATTCCTCTTAAGCAATATATTTGAATTACTCAGAAATAAGCGATTCTCCCTGAATTTTCTTTAGATTACCATATTATTTCAGTTTTTCATGCTGTTGTTCAGTCGCTAAGTCGTGTCTGCCTCTTTGCAAGCCCATGGACTGCAGCACGCCAGGCTTCCCTGTAAAACTTTATAATTTGGAAGCTATGCATTTCCTCAATATGGTCACAGCTGTGAAGACATTTTAGAAACATCTTTTAGAATATTGGAATTTTATTAGATTATATATCCAATGTCAGAATTGTTTCTAATTAAGTAAAAATATGAATCTGTTCAGTGACTCTTCTAGGAAACAAGCATTTAAAATATAAATTTTCTNAGCTATGCATTTCCTCAATATGGTCACAGCTGTGAAGACATTTTAGAAACATCTTTTAGAATATTGGAATTTTATTAGATTATATATCCAATGTCAGAATTGTTTCTAATTAAGTAAAAATATGAATCTGTTCAGTGACTCTTCTAGGAAACAAGCATTTAAAATATAAATTTTCTTTGCTTCCCCCTTTTGCTGGGGAAGCAAAGGACTTTGAGAAACTGAAAGGCTACTGGAGAGAGTAACTGTAATAAGATTCAGAAGCCCATGGAGTGCTTGGCAAAGGGCATGTGTAGGTCATTGGAGAGATGTGTGCCAGGCATGCAGGGCTAAGACTTGGCTGTGTGACTTAAGCCAGATTATGGAGATGTCTTGAATATCCTGTGCATATACTCTGCATTCTGAAGTTTTGGGAGCTGAAGAGTGATGTGATCTGCTCTGTCTTTTGCCACATAACCCTGAAGCAGTATCCCTTTTTACTTTCTTCTGGGCTCTTATCTCATTTACCCAGCAGAGGATCACTACCCAATCCTGCCACTCTGGCCTAAGCAGACTTCACATTTAGAGAAACTTTTTTAATGATAGAAGGGAGAATGGAAGATGTACTTTTCTTCTACCAATGTGCCTTTACTAATGAAGGAATAAAGGTTTTCAGGTGGGGCAGTCTAGCTAAGGTTTTAGAAATTTTTCACAGATGTACATCAGGCATAAAAATTTTATTACTCTGGATGTTTTGAGTTCAGGTTTAATAGCAAAATTATAGTCATATCAAGCTAAAGTAGGCACCAGGAAACTGGGTGTGGGGCAAGGGTGCCCTCAGGGAGACCAGCCAGACAAGGGCTCTTGTGGAATGGTCAGAACTGTAGTTCTTTGGAATGCTGCCACAGTTTCCCAGGCTCAGGGGAAAAAACGTTCCATAAACAGTTGACTAGTAGCAGAGGATTGTTACAGAACTGCTTAACTTGTTTGAGAACAAAATTTTTAAGCACGTTAGAAGCACTTATCTAATGATAATAGATATGGACCTTTCAAATTGTTATTAATCTGTCTATAAAAGCAGGTCTTCAAGGATCTCAACTTTTCAACATTCTTATAACTAAAATATTTGTTGTAACAAACATGCATTTAAAAAAATTCATCTGTAATTTGTGCAATTAAATTGTGTCTTCCACCCATTAGA